AAATGAGGGAAAATCGGAAATCGTGGTTTGCCATGCCACCTTATTTGATTAAGGTAATAATAAGCAAAAGGTGAGATATTTATTTGGTTAATCCCTGATCTCTTTTTAAGATAGTTGAAAACAGCTCGAATCTGTTAACGTATTTTGTTTATGAAGAATCCAGGTTAGAGACATTTATTGTCTTGTAATTTTTGCCATATAAAATCCCAGATAAAGGAAATATAGGCCTTTTTTTGAATCATCAGGAATGCAAACCGAATTGCCCAAGTATTTAGCGTGAAGAACGTAATATACAATACAAATTCAATTTAGTTTATAACTAATTGATAAGTTTGCACAGCCATTATTACATCGCCTCAGTATAAATATGAAATCCTGAATTAATGATTGAAGACTTGGCGATCGAGCACGGGGGGTTTTTTTTTCTTTTACCAAAACGCAGACGTATAACGTTGGGAAAGAATAATTTCGCGATATATCATATGCAATATGTACAAATATGCAATCTTCAATTATTTATTATATCGTCTTCGTAATATAAAACAGAAAGCATAATGAAGAAAGAAAAGGATTTACAATAAAAAGAAAGAATAAAGGAAGGCAATGAAATGGATGCGAATAAAATGAAAGATAAAATAATGTAAAAAGAAGTATATACGTACATATACATATATTTCATTTACCATCTGAAATCTTATTTATTGTTTTCCCTGTATTGGTACCAATCCGAAGGCAAATTCTTTGTTGCAACAGCTTGAGCAATTTCTGAGGGCAAACTATTAATAAAGGCTTCATGTTGCTGTTGCAATTGTTGAACTTCCATTGGCGATGTCCCTATCTGTGATTGTTGTAACCACTGACGATACTCTGAAGAGAACGCGCTATAGTTTGCCCATTCATTTTGAACCACCGATCGGATTAACTTTTAGAAAAAAAAAAGAATGAAACCAATTAATCTCTCGTTGGTAATTGACCATGCCACGGTAGATACAGATGCAGATATAAGTTATACATCGGGGGCTGCGATCACTACCGGAATGATCTAATGCATGTATAAATTTGACGATATAAAACTAAAATTTTCGAAAAATTTTTCGAAAAAAAATTTTTTTTCAAAAATCTCATTCGAACCTTTTGTTGTTCCGCCCACTCTTCATCATCACTGATATCCATAATGCTATCCAAGTTTCGCCTCTTTTGAAAGTCTTTGAAGCGTTCTTCTTTAAATAATTTTTTAATAACGGATTGCCTAAATTCCTGAAAATAAAAATCCATATTAGCGAAGAGCGGTTAACCTTAAAGCACTCGGGCAGAATTCCAACCTGCATCCACATGTCACTGTTGAATTTCATGACCGGTTGATGGTGAGCGTGTTTTGGTGGAGGAGAATGGTGCCTAACATGGTTATGAGTTCCCTCTTTTTCCTCCTTATCTCCAAGACTTTTAGAACGACGACGATAGGTGTTCGTTTTGGGAGAAAGCAAGTATTCTCGATTATTTGACAAGGTTTTGGTATCCATTTCTGAGCTAAACCTACGAGAAAGATTTTTTCTGATCACACCATATTACACACGTACTTATCACCTATCTCACCTGTTTCCTGACATCATAGTTGGTCCTGGGCTTGTTGCACAGATCGGAATTCGAGATCGTTCTAGATGAGTCTACCTAATTTAGCAAATATATAAATAAAAACCTTAAATTATAATGAATAAAGTTTTTGTTTAAACAAATATGCATACTATATGTATAGTGTATATATTGTATATAAAAATATTTAAATATTATTATTATTATTTAAAATAAAAACCCATAGTCTAAGGTGTAGTGATTAGCATTTCATAGGTTAGATTACAAGATATAAGTTTAAATTCTTCAAAAGATAATATCTAAAATTAATAGAATTTATATTTATTAATTTAATCTTATATTTAATATTTTTGAACATAGTTATAGTAGAGGACAAAAAAAATTGCTTAAATTTTCAAAAAATCAAAATTTTTATTATAATTTAGAATTTATTTATTTAAAAAATATAAACAAAATATTAATATAAATATTTAGTTTTATAAAATAATTTTTAATCAAAATAATTTATATTTATTTAATAATATTATTTTTAATTTTTTTTTAAATTATATATATATATATATATTTTGAGTACCTGTAGCCAGGCTAGATCATCAGTTTATTAATCAATTGAAAACATAAGTATATTTTTATTCAAGTAAAATAATACTTACTACAACTAAACTATTAATCCTAATCTAATTAACCTATCTTAGGCATAAAAATATTCAAGTTTGACCTTAGAGACAATATTTCACTTCATAGTATTTTTGAATAAAAATTCTTCTAGTCTACTGCATTATTGTCAGCAGGTTGTTACTGCCGTATGTCTGATTAAACCACAGGAATATAGGAAACTACAAAAAAATGGATTGAAAAAAAGATAGGGGGGATATTTAAAAATGTCTAAATAGATAACAAGAAAATAAAAAAAAAAATTACTTTCAGCTTCCTCCAAAAACCTGTTTCTCAAGACCTCTTCTCAATAAGAAATATCCAATTAAAATATCCTTTCTTTTTCTGACTATCTGAGGAACTTGATCTTAATTTTCTTCTTACATATCATTTGAAAAGACATATTATCTAGTGGAAGTCTTTACTTCCAGAATATATTTAATCCCAACATTTTTTGGGCAGTGATTTTTTTTCTACCTACAATAGAGAGACAACTTATGATGAACCTTAGATTCTTATATGACCTAGTAAAGATTGGATTATATTATTTTCATATAATACCTTCCAGCAGTTACACCTAATCAAATAAATTTTACTGATATATACCTTCTATTGTTTAAAAAGTTATTCCCCAAAGTCTTTTTGTTTTACAATGGTGGGAAGATACTAGAAAATCAGTAGAGATCCTCATCAATTATGATATCCTTTAATAACTTCTAAAAAAATATATTCTCAACTGTAACCAAAGGGTTAGAACTTAATATAAATTAGAGACCATTCAGTTTTATTGCCTAATCAGAATAAAAAGAAGACCTTAATCTTGAACTTTGCTTGACTGGAATAATAGGAGAGAAAAATTTCAGTTTGAAATAATAGTTTTTTTATTACCTGAGAACTTGTTACTTATATATTATTGACCTTATAGAACTTGATTTATAGGTTAATCCAATTGAAGGAGTGAAGTAGATATGAATACCAATCAACTCTTTCAATTGTCAATAACATTATTAGAACATATAAGGTGATTAGTAGGGACTTGTTTATATTCAGTTACTAATATGTTTCATGTCAATCAATCAAAAGCCTGGTGACATTGTGGTATCAAAAATTCAGAGTCGAACTGAGATAGACAAAATTCCTCAAAAAAATTATGAAAAATAATAAATATTTTAAGAGAAAACAAAAAAGTATAAGAAAGTAGATAATAGGCCTTTCCCTGTTGATAAAATCTCTATTTCTGTCACTTTGACTTTGTAAGATAACATTCCACTTACTAGTTCTTTTACTTTCTAGAATCTTCTTGCCTTTAGTAAAGGAAGTGTATACTTGGATCTTTTCAGGTCACTAAAGATCCAAGTTTTTATTCAAAGAAGTTTATAAACAAGTAAAGAAGAGTAGAAAAAATACATGAAGACAAGCTTTAAGTTATTTAATAAAAGTATAAAGACTTTATTAGCAAGGAAGTATAAAACTTCTTATGAACATTTTTTTTGTATGTGATCAGAGAATCAGCAGAAAGAGTTCAATAAAAACTTGTTTATTTTTATTTATTTATTTATTTTTTTAAAAATTTTATATATTAAGTTATATAAATATTATAAGTTATATATATAAAACATAATAAAAGATAAAAATAAACTCTTTCCGCTGATCCATATTTTTTCAAAAAATTTTCTTTTTTGGTAATTTTCTTAAAAAAATCACAAAAACTGCCTAAACAAAAACAAGCCACAAAGGATACAACTATCCATTTATAGGTAACAAAATCTACTTTACAACAAACAAGAAAAGAGTTTTGCTCAGCTTGAAAGACAGATATTCCTAGATCACTTTTGTTTTTAGGAAGAAGAAAAAGCAAGAATAAGCTGATTCATAGTAGGCTTCTTCTCAACTCTACAAAGCTCTTAATTAGGCCAGTGCAGATTAACACCTTTCTAAATACTAAGAGAAGTCTCAGAAGCAATAGATTATATTGATAAATCAGCACAACCTCAAAGCTAACTGAAACCCAGGAGAATGTCCAAGTCTCTTTGGTCAAACAGCTAAAAGATCACAACAACACAACAACTCCAGATCAACTATTTCATGTTACATAAACACGAACACGTTAACTCTCCACCTGATTGATGTGTATCAAAACAAGCTGATCAATCTACAACAAAATAAGAGAACGTGACAGATCAATAAACTAGAACATATGAGATCAACAGCACATGTTATCTAAAGCAAGATCAACAGTTGATCATAATCAGTTACATGTTAATAAACAAATATTGGATAAGTAAACACATAGTAGCTACATGTCATAGACTTCCTAATATCAATATAACAACTTATTGCCATATATGCCAAATGGAAAAATAATATATAACAGTATTTATTTGATCATGTAGTTAAAAAGACACTCATACAACAACAATACGTACTAAATTCTTCATATTATGTGTCAACATGTCAACAAAAGAACAAACAATAATCAGAATTCTAGAGAAACAAGAAAAGGAGCTATTGAAAGTATTAGGAAAGATAGCATCTCATCAAGATCCTCAACAAGTACTCTGAAAAACAAGAATAATACAGCATGAACTGAAACTAACAACAACTATTCAACTCCACATCCCTGCTGAGTCAATACAGGTTTTCTCGATACTAAATAATATTATTGCCAATCTATTAAAGATAGATCCTTTGATAATAGTGAAAGAATGTATATTGCGACAATATATTCTTACTCTCTAGGAAAAGAGGCAAGGTAAAAAGGAAGATTTGAAAGCACCTATGCTAAAAGAAAAGGTATACAATATGTTGACAAGCAAGCCAGTAAGACAGGCAACAAGCCCTAATCAAGTTGAAGTTTCTATAATGAAAAGCACACCAATAGAAGTTTAATCAACTTCCACAGAACTTGAAGAAGCACACTCCATTAAGGAAATCATAATGGAGAATAGAGAGATGGTAGAACAAATGGAACAAATAGAAACAGAAGTGCTAAAGGAAACAGTGCAGAGAAGCTGTATTACAGATAGCATGTCTTATAATACAAGAAACAGGATTCAGGGAACAATAGTAAACCTATTCTTTATAAAACAATAGAGATCAATTAAGGTGGGGGTACTCCAAGCTATATTGCCAGGAGAAAATAGAGAAGAGGGAATTATGTATCTCAAAGGAGCTCTAAAAATACCTAAGCAAATGAATCCCTTCAAAATAGAATTTATCAATGGCAACCATTGAATTACATTTTGTTTTGATGAAGAAGAAGATGCAGCAAGATATCTGGAGGCAGTTAATAGAAAAGAAGCTGAGAACTTCACATTTAGAAGAATGGACAAAGAGATGATCACATGACCGGCCTTTCAAAGATATGCTCAGAACAAAAAGATCTTCAAACCAGAAAACTTTCCATCAGTTAAAAATAGATCCAAATATATCATATTGGTAGATACAGATCACAAGCCTGGCAAATGTGTGATCAGATAAACAATAGAAGAGTTTGGAGAAATTATCAATATTCATGAATATAGAACATCTTTCCATCAAAAATGGTTCAAAGTTCATCTTTATATTTACCAAGAATACATCAACTTGGACAAGGAATAGATGATCAAGATAAAATCCAATCAAGTATGATCTGTGATAGTCCACAAGGAACAAGATGATCAAGAAATTACTCAGATTCTAAAAGAAAGAAAGAGATACTCCTTAAGACTATATGGGGTTGATGGATTATCTACAAATTCTATAGAAGAGGCCTTAAACCATATGAAGGTTAAGGCCTTTTACATATAAAAAAACAAGGTCATCTTAGTATCAGAAAACTATGTAGTAGTGTACTTTGAAAATGAAAAAGATCTAAGAGAGGCACTCCAACATCAAATAAAGATCAACAATTAAGGGCTAGGATGAAGTGCAAAAAATCATTATTATCACAAGGCATCAGTTGACCTGACTAGGTCAAGCAATGCACATATAATAATTAAAGAAGCAAGAGAACAAAATTCTATAAGTCAAGATAGAGCAAGTGGAGATAAAAAAAATAATGAAGATATCATGGAAACTGAAAAAGAAGCTATATCAACAGTAAGACTCAGAAGAAACAATAGTTAACCAAAAAACAGGAGAAGTACAATAAGGTCTATACCACTAGTAACTGGTAGCAATAGGGAGCCACTAGGGAGGTGAAGACATCAGAAAGCGAACCAAGTCCCACATTAGGTTTCACAATATTCCTCAAAAACAGATGATAAAGCTTCAGATACTAGGTGACATCAAAGGC